GAATTAAAATAAGATTTCCAATAGTCTCAGGAACAACATCCACTTCTGAAGTAGGAAAGTACATGATGTACTTACAAGTACCTAAACACATATAAACAGTTTAATTAACAATTATGACAACAATACTCAGTTACTCACTAATATCATCCAGTATAGGTTGTCCCAGTGATACATTAGTACTCATTGTACACAATACATTAGCAAATGTATGTAAACTGTTGGGATCAGTTTGAACAGCTTCTTTGACAGCAGTTAATAGAGCCTCACGTTGATTAGGAATAGAGGGACTAGCTGACACCACTCTACTAACTGCTTCTTGTGCTAACATACGTTCACCATAAAGTAACCAAGCAATGCTAACAGAATCACAAAGAGACTGAGACAGGACAGTATGACAATTATTAAAAATATTAATAAGAATATCTTGTTCTATGATAGAAAAACAAATATTATAATTACATAGAGCTACGATTCACTCACTTAACTTCTCAGCTACAGCAGTTTCATTCATGGATCGTAGAGCATCTGACAGTGAGTCCAAGTTGGCTCCTCCTCTACTGTCAACATTATCAGCTCTACCTAACCATTGGGAGAGGCACTCTGTCATACACCTAGATATATCATGAGGATGATTCTTTTCTATGACGTCCAGTGTCCTCTTTAGTAGTCCTAGTCTCAGTCCAAGCTCATACCATTTTGTTTCTGGAAAGCCACATCTCTTCAATAAATCAAGAACATCAATCAAGTGTCCAACTTTGATTGCAGAACCTAATAGAAAAATGACTGTAGTGGATCTAAAAACACCAATGAATACCTAAGCAAGATTGACTAGTAGCCATAATTCCATTTAAATCAGTAAACCCTGTCCTGAGATACTCTGCTCAGTTTGCTCACGATTTAGGGGTGGCCATAGATATGGGGTGGCACTCAGAAGAGAGGCGGGGCCAGAAAGATTAAAAAGGTGGGGCTGGATCTGCAATTCTGCAAAAATCGAGGCAAGATCTACACATTCTACTCTACATTCAATAATGTTACTTTGGGGTGATTCAGTGAACATGGTGAAATGTTGAACTGAATCAACTAAGAACTGACAGAACATGACCCAGGAACTGATTTATGACTCTAAACCACAATATCGAGTGTCGTGACAATTATTTTTTACAATCTTGACTAGAAACT